GTATGTGTGACTGTTTTCTTTGTCTCCAGGTGGTGAAAAGCAGCAGCAACAGCAGCAGAAGTAGCAGGACAGCAGTGACTTCTGATGCTCTATCAGCCACCATGGGGCCAGCGATGAGCTCCTCTACCGGCAGCATCCTCTGCATTTCTCTAGCCAGGTACACCCAATGGAGCACTGTGTTTGCAGTCTGCGTTCAGATCTTTTAATAAGCAGCAGACAAAACAGAAGATGATCAACCTGTGGGTTTCCTCCTCTCTTATCTCCTCTGGAGTCTGTCCTTCAGTCTAGGACGTAACATAGCACTGAGCCACATTCAAATCAAAATACACCCACATCAACCTTTATCATTAACTGTTTGTATTACTGAAGTAGTTAGCATCAAATATACAGTAATTACAGACATCATTATGATTTTTTTTTCATGATGATGTCTGTTATCTTACAATTATAGGGTCATTAGCCCTTATCTTACTTATTGTCTTTGATATTTTCTAAACTATTTATACCTTTATAGTTATTTTACGATTACAGTATTTTGTCATGTATCTTAAGTTTTTCATCACTGTGCTGCAGAAAATTGAACAACATGAATTTGCTGCTGTCAGACTGCATCAGAAGGACACTGATGAGCAGCGAAATGTGAGCTCATTATAAATAAACAGACTAAATAAGCAAGATGCCAGACGCAGAAACTGATTTAATATTAAAGTCTAATATCAAACACAGTGTCTCAATTCAAGGTCCAAATACAAAATAAAGAAAGAAAGAAAGAAAGAAAGAAATAAATAAATAAATAAATAAATAAATAAATAAATAAATATATATATATACATATAAATGAAATCTAAATTTAAAAAAATTAACAGTCTATGTGAGAGGTTTGCTTCATAAATCTTTGTAACAAAAAAAGGTTGAATAATTCTACTTACTTCTCTTTCCTCTCCTGCTCCAGTCCAACTTAGAGTACAATTTGAAGAGGTGCAGTACTTCCTCTACTGGTTTTAAAGGTGACCAGCATCCTTTGTGCAAATAAATCCAGTGTTTCAAGTGTTTATAAATCCTTTGGCTGAGCTTTCACTTTAACAGTTGCCTGGAGACGTGGTCACTTGAGGGTTACAAGCACCATGGCAGAGGAGTGAACCTGAGACACAGCAGTGCATATCTGAACCACAAAGCAGTTTCCAGCAGAACAAAGGAGGTGCTTTTTATTCATAAGAATGGAGAACCTGCAAGGCTTTCACTGGTTGTGCTCTGCATTAGTGTTTAGATGGGCTTACTTCACATTTAGCTTTGTTGCACCCAGAGAAACCCCACTGTCCAATTCATCAACCCGGGAGGCTTTTGAAAGGGAAATTAATTAGCTGGGTCAGACTGACCTGTGTCAAAGGAGACAAGGACTTACTCAGGAGTTCAGAAAGGGAAAAGAAGAATTAAAAAATGTCATAATTATATTCTTAAAAGCTCAGTTTTAATAATTTAATCTAAAAGTGCTGTCAAAGCGATTGATTGATTGCATGTTAGTTAGTCCAGTGTAAGAAATCATAGTTGCAAAGTTGAAAGGAAAAAACACTGTTCATGGAAAGCTTTTGTGAATGAGCTGGCTTTCATGCTTGGTACCTGTGAATAGCTGGTATGCCCTGTTTAAAGATACTGGCCACACATCTAGGGGTGGATGTGTTGGTCTTGCTCTGAAATTAGCAACAGAAGCTACAATGACCTCTTCCCCCCACCCCCGAAAAAGCAGCAAATCAAAAATCAATCAAAAAAAAATGTAACATTGACTATTTACGAAACTTTCAATTTCGAAATTCATATTGCAATGAATAGAAAAAAACAAAACCCTTTCATAAAAAGGATATTCTGACACCCACACATGTACATCCGCACACTCGCAGACATTTGCTGAAAGCTCTCTGAAAGTTCTTTTGTAGATCCCAACAATGTGTCCCTTGTTCGCAGCTTATTTATTCCACTTCCATGTAATTTTGAGTAGGACAAGCTAGTGAAAATGCTGAGGAAAAGAGGCACCAGAATGATGGGAAGCCCTATGCTGTCTGGAGGATGTGTCATTCTGGAAATATGTCCATTAGCTGCATTTAAATCATGCAAGCCTACAGATTTCAGCAGTCTTGCAGATGTTTGTTATTATGCAATGCATCACGTGTCTCTCTCTCTCGCTGTAGTTCCAGGCAGATTTTGACATGTTTATTCCTCTCCAACTGCTCTACTGTGGTTTCTCTCTGACGTGTCATCTGCTGGCAGGTGTTCAGAAATGTGCTGTATGTGCTTCTGAATTACACAGCCTGGATCACTGTGCAGCGAGGACCAAGGAACGGGGCACAAACATGAAAGAGGGAAGTGTTGTTTCTCCCATGTGGAAAGTGTTGCTGGTGGGGATGTGCGTGCTGCTGCTCCTGAGCACGGCAGGTTTAGTGTTTCTGCTGTTTCGGCAGAAAGAGTTGGCAGACGAGCTGTTTAGGCTGGAGTCCCAGATGCAGGAGCTGACAGAGAGCTGCAGGTTGCGGGCGGGAATCCTGCCCATCGACCCCGGAGAGGCCCGAGAGTTCAGGAAGCTCCACCGCCGCAGGAGAAACCAGGAAGAAGATCCAATGCAAAGCGAAGATCAGAAGGATATGCTGATGCTCATGACATACTCTATGGTTCCTGTAAGACATCAGCATGCTTGGATGTTTCTGTAGGACTGTGAATACTAATGCTAAAAGTTGTTTACTCTATTATGACAAAAACTGAGTTATGAATCTCTGAATATATATTATGAAACGGAAAAGAGGGGGAATTTTTTATTTTTCCAGAGTTTGGTGTCTTTAATACGATCATGTGAGGCATCTCCTTGCAATCTAAGAAATCCAGGAGTCTGTTGTAACCATTAACAAATTTCTAGTTTTGAGTGCTTCCTGGAAAAGTACTTTGTGCTGTGAAGAGTGACTGCTCCTCCCTCGGCTCCACTTTCTTCCACTACAAAACTGGCATTTCTTCAAAGCCGTGCTACTGTATATTTTGTGAGGGAGCCGGGGGCAGTATCATTGTTTTTATTAACAATTAATCTTCACTTTCAGTTTGTTTCATCTAAAGCCTAAAGATTAAAAGAACAGCAGAGATTTAAGAAGTGAGAAAATTTTAGGGAATTTTAGTTGTTGTTGTTGTTGTTATACTCTAACTGCTTCAGCTCTGTTAACGAGAATGATTCTTTTGCTGGATTTTGGGAATAAACACTGAACATGGCAAAAGATTAAAATATAGACCTTTAGAAAACACCCTGTCCTTTCTGTGTTAACAGGGCCTAACTCAAATGGCCCTATATGTGGTTAACTTACACCTAAATCAAAACTTTCCTCATGCCTGTCTTTTTCTTTATTTCAGGTCAAAGCCTTCACAGACATGTGCAGGAGCTCCAAAGGAATTTGTTTAACAGGTGCACATCATAAAAACATGCATCTCCACTGTTTTCATTTGCGTATTTACTGCCCATAGTTGTTGTTGTTGTTGTTTTTTTTTTTTAAATATGTGAATTGTTTTTTTCTTTCCAGGCCCACCTGGACCCCCAGGTAAAAACTGAAATTTAAATTTACTGAGTAAATTTTCTCTAATTATGCTAAATTCCGACTGCATTACAAAGTGTTTTTGTTCTGTCAGGTAAACCTGGTTCACCTGGACCCCCAGGTCCACCGGGGCCAGAGGGGAGACGAGGTAGAAAAGGTGAGAACTTTTATATGTCTAAGAAATCTGAGAACCCATCTCCTCTCCCATTCAGCGAAAAGCTGTATGAAAACAACCAAATTTGCTGAACAGAAGCTTCTCGTGCATTTCAAACAGTCTTTCATTGTTCCTGCTGTGATTGCACAACACGGGCATTCCACTCACTGTCTGCAAGAAACTTGTATTTAGCTGCCACATAGCTGTTTACTGCAGTGGGATAAGTGTTTGCTGCACTGATTAGCACTGATTAGCCCAAATTATAGTATTTTTGTTGTTTTGAAACTGAAAATTGCAGTGTGGGCAATGTTTTTTTGTTTTTTTTAACTTTCACTCATTCACTGTATCTTTTTACCAACTCTGCATGGCTTGAACTCTGAGATTAATCTGAGATTCTGAAGAAATTTAGGTTTTTGAACTAACATGAAGCTCTTGATGAATACTCAGGGAGCCTGACATTACCTTAACAGACTGTTAACTGTTATTGGTTCCTTTTCCTTCCTTCAACTCTTCAGTCTTTTTGTGATGTGTTAAATTTATGCTAAGTAGGGCTAATCCTTACTTCTCTTTTCTGAACTGAGTAGCTTTTGTCATTTTTCAGGTCTGCTTCCAGAACAAAATAACTGGGCGTGCATCAAATGTTAATGAGGGTAATCTCTGCCCATACAGCTCACTAGGGCTACCTGAAAACCCCAGTGTTCTAATTTCCATCAAAAAACACACCTTTAATATGTCTTGTGTCCTGTTTCCCTTCACTCACTCCCAAACCAGTCATGGCAGAGGCTGCCACTCCCCGGTAGTAGTTTTTCTTTCCCACTGTCCCCAAGTGCTTGCTCATATCACCTGATTTTTGTGGCTTTTTCTCTGTTATTGTAGCATCTTTACCTTACAATATAAAGCACCTTTATTGTGGTCGTTGGTTGTTGTGGTTTAATACGATAAAAATAAAATGTAACTGAACTGAATACATTTGAGGCATCACAAGTCATTACTAAGGTTAAAACAGTCTTATATGAACAGTTAATAGGGTAGCCCACATCACAGCATTCCTTTTTCTTTTATTGTTTTTGTTACTTCTGTGCCAGACTTCTGTACTTACCTTACACCTTATAACAGGATGCAGCTGTTCTAAAACTGTGCAGCAAGAGTACTTACAGGGAGTAGAGCGAGGTGATATTTCTGTCATAATAACGCCCTTTCATTTGTTTCCTGTTAAATCTAGAACCGAATTGCAGTCCTGCTTAATCACACTCTGACACATGTTATAGATCTCATGGTACCATATTCTGTAGATAGCACCAGAGGGCAGACTTACTTCTGATCCTCACATTTTCAGCATTTCAGTGGGAGGCAGAGCCTTCAGATATCATGCTGCTCTCATTTGAAACCAGTTCCCAGTTTGGGTTTGTGAGGCAGACACCATCTCTACTTTTAAGATTAGTTTTAAAACGGTCATTTTTGATAAAGCCTGTAGTTAGGGCTGAATCAGGTGACCCTGAACCATCACTTAGTTATGCTGCTGCGTCAGAGGAACCTCCCATGACGCATCGAGCACCTTTCCTCTACTCTTCTCTCTTTTACTCCACAGACTTCAAAGGGCCATGAACATTGCATGCCATTACCTCCCTGTGCTTTCAGCAGAGGTCTCTGGCTCTGGAGCTGAACATTTCTGACTCAGCCAACCTTCTTTGTTTTAATTGTCTCCTTGACCTATTTTCTCCTCTCTCCCTTTAACCCAACCAGTCAAGGCTGATGTGTGCTCTTCATAAATGTGGCCCAGGCTGATCTTTCTTCATGTTAAAGTCACTCACCTCATATTTATGCATCCAGTGATATTTATGAAAGTGGCAATAACTGATAACAGCTTTTTTGGCTGGTAACATTCAAAATGAATATAAAATCAGAGCCCCCAGCCACCACGTGAAGTCTTAGCCTTACAGTGTAAAAATACTCTGAGATGACTTATGTTTTGACTTTTCACTATATAAATATAATCGGGTTAATATTAAAGAGTCTATATTAGTATTGTTAATTTGGTCTGTTTTGCACATCATATTTTTAATAATCTGTGTACATAAAGGTCTTCCTGGTCCACCTGGTCCACCCTGCTCCACCTCTTGTTCCAGTGACATGAAAAACAAGATTACTGAAGGAAGTAGTCGTCAAATTTACGCATGGAGAGGTAGGAATAATGCCACAATGAGCCAGTGGACCAAGGACCACAAACATGATATGAGAAGCTGTGTGATTATTAAAAAAACAGTGTTGGCTGACCTGAAGAGTGTTCAGTTGCTTTTGTTCACTCTATATTCGATTTCAGTAGTAGTTAAAAATCACTTGTTTATCCACTATGATATTAAGCAGTGTAACATTCACAGTTCTAGTTGTTTTACCACAAAGTAAAATCTTTTCACGTCTCTCCTCACAAATCAGACTGGTCAAAGGCATGATTAATGCCAAGATTTTAAAAGCACAGAAGCCATTCTCCTACAGAAACAAGATTTAAGACTGTTATTTAGATTTTAATTTAAACTCTTTGATTGTCTGGATTTGTCTCTATTTTATTTAGTCTCTTAGTTTCAGTCATGTTGATCTTAAAGATAAGTTCCCAGCACACTGGTCATAGAGGTGTCCATTAGCCTGATCGACAACTGTTCATCCATTCATCCAGGGTGATCACTGATGATGACTTAGACCTCACAGGGTTAAAATTAATAGCTAATAAAACAACACAGAAAACAACAAGTTGCAAAGTATATATGTATGTCTGTATGGGTGGATGTTATGGATGGTGTGTGCTTCGTAACTGCTCTGAGATAAGGGTAGCAATTTATGTCTCTTTTCTTCTTCTTCACAGAATCACCGACACCACGTCCAGCTGATAACACAACTAATGTTTTGAATGTTAGTGGCACAAATATAAAATTAGGTTAGTTACCACTCTGAGCGATAAGAAGTCTTGTTTGGCAGACTAATATTTGACTAAGAAAAAGCATTAAACTCAACATCTTTTATTTCCTAGATTTTGGTTCTTTTTATCCAAACCACAGCCAAGACGCCTTCAACAATACCAAAGAAGAAAATGTCACAGAGGTCCCAGCAGGCGAGAGGTCCCAATCATCAGCAGGTGAGAAGTGCTGAACTTTAACAACAGTGAGCGCAGCCACGATCATTTGTTTTTTGTGTCACAACTGAAAATGCTGCAGAATTGTAAATGTCCTCTTTTTCCCTCCAGGCCTGCTGAGTGTAGCCTTAGGCAACAACAGCGACTCCTTCAGAAATGTTACTGTTACTACAGTGGAAAGTGGTAAGAAAATGTCTGCTGTGCTTGCTATCAGTATTGCCACATCACTTCAGAACACAAATAAAAATGGTTGAATAATTGCATTTCCCACTCAGTTAAACCTTAAATGCGATCTTTTATGCTTATTTCCATTTTGGCTCAAAAGGATTTGAAACTTTGGCCACATATACAGTATAATAGTGTATCTGGATTCATTTAAAACATTTATGGTTATGCTGATCATGTTTCTTTTCTGCAGACTGGATATCACCTCACCCAGATTACCAAAGTGACAACCTGACTGGAATCGACCCAGAAAATGTTACAGAAGCACCAATGAATTTATTAGCAGGTTAATATTGGTACTCATTCATTGTACACACAAATCTTATTTCACACTATACTCATTGTACTGGATTTCCTCTTTGATTCCACAGTGTTACCAACACCAGGTGAGCCGCATGATGCTGGAAAAGCTCTCTCTGATGAAACTTTAGACACATATTTGAAAGCTGGTAAGAAACCATTTGAGTGTCAGAGTGTCTCTGCTAAGATATTTAAGAGACGGCTGAATGTTTTAGAACTGACGTTAACAAATTCATTTAGATTTCTGCAAACGATACATTTACGATCACCTAATAACTGGAGACACTAAAACTGGTGAATTATGTGATTTTAAATTACACACGATATGCCATAAAGATCGCTTGCTGTTTGTAATAAACCAGCAAGTTTCTTCTACGATTATGATAAATTGTGTGTCCAATCATCCAGTGACATCTTCTACGTTCCTTCTGCAGAATCACCAACAGCACATCCAGCTGAAAACCTCATAGATGCTTTGAATGTCTCTGACTCTGAGAAACTGGACAATAAGACAGAATCAGGTAAATGATCAAAAAAACTAAATTTGAATATATGAAAAATGTATTTAAACCACACAGTTTAAACCCCAAAAAAAAACAAACCAAAAAAAACAAAGAAAACCCCCATTCTAGACCGTTCACCGTTTTATGAAGATTACAGCTACAGCACAGCAATTCTTAGAAACCCTGAAGTCATCACAGAGGCAGCAGGAAAATTAACAGGTATTAGACTCTAAAACATCCTCTTTCTGTCACTTTAGAAGTGCTTTCACTGTATAGACCAGTGATGCAGATCTAAACAGTGCTGCATTTAAGGGCAGCAGAACTGTCAGTGAACAGTAAAAACTGGTGTATTTTAAAAATGCTCCTGTTGTGAGTGTACGGGCTCATACTTGGTTTGATTAGTTTTACTGGCTGCAGATACTTTATTCGTTCACAATCATTCACAAGCTGACGTTACAACTGACTAACAGACTGTGCACTAATATCTTTTAGACGTCTTTGAATACTTACCTTAGTTATATAGTATTATATTTTCATTTCATATTTTTAATCCATACTTATTTTACTTCATTTGCTTTCAGATTGTTTTTTAACACTTGTTTTTAATCCTAATGTGATCATACTGTATTCTATGTTATTGAGCTCTATTTATTTAAGCAACTTAATCATGTCTGCAGTGTTTAACTTGATTTTAACTTCTATGAAAAAAGATTTTCCCAATTTTGGGATTAAAATAAACTGCAAGTTAAATTTTTCCTAAGAATGAAAAACTGTTTAAAATACTTGCAGCAGAGTATGAAGTTGAGCTTCAAATTGAAGCAATTAACTATTCGAATATATAATTTTTCTAATGTGTGGACCAACTTCTCTTTCTTACTGAAGAATCCCCAACAGATGGTCCAGCTGCAAACACCAGAGGAGGTATGAACATTTGTAACCCTTCTGACACAAAAATCCAACACAAAAAATTCACCAGGACTGATTAATGACAACATTTTAATTCCTCTAGACACAAAACCATTTATGCACAACTTTAATGATACCAACACTGAAAATGTTACAAATGGACCAGTACAATTATTACCAGGTAATAAACCTTGTGCTTTGAGTTATTAACTGCATGTCCTCCTCTTGTTGTGCTTGGTATGCAAAGAAGACGTGTTGAACTTTGTTGTCTTCTTTTCACAGCTCCACCTGATGCAGATATAAACAGTGACTCCTCTAATGGCAGCGAGACCTTCATTAAAGCAACTCTGAAAACTGGTAAATTCAAGCTGTTTAAAGTTCAGTGCTGTTTTATGTTTCTGTAGTAAATGTTTTGGGGTGGTAAGAGCTTTATCTCTTAAACATCATTAATTATGAAAATATATAGTTTAGGCTTTTTATTTTTTTTATCTCATGAACAGTGAGATTTAACCAGGAGTGAGAAACCAATTTTTATATATTACTTGTATACAAATCTAATGTGTGCAGCAGAAATTGTAGTTACATCTTGTGTTTCTTCCTGAAGAATCACCAACAGCGTATCCTCTTCAGAAAGCCACCACAGATGCTTTGAATGTCTCTGAATCTGAGAAACATCTGAGCATGAAAGTGAAAACTGGTAAATCAACCAAGACTGCAAAGGCAAACATAAGTTTGAATATATTAAAAAACAAAATTCAACCTAATACTTATTTTTTAAAATCATAGAACCGGTAACATTTGATGACGATGAAAGCCAGGGGACCTTGAATGACACAGAAACTAAAGGACCAGTAATGCTGTTAACAGGTATGAAATCATTGCTTTGGATTATGAAATATCCTATTTGACTTTGGTTATTATTTATATAAAATTCTTGAACTTTATCATTTCACTCTAATCTTGAATAAATATCCAAAATGATGCCCGAGCTGCTGACAAAATCAGGAGCTATGCTGACTCAAGGTTCAATATTTAACTAAACCTTAAATATCTTAACTTTTTACATTTAGTGACAAGAAGCTCAAGCTTATAAGGACTGGTTGATTCCAGTTGGTGTGCCAGCTCTTCTAGTAAAAGTTTTCTTTCTTTTTGTAGAACCACTGTTAGATTATTCTGTTATTATATGTTACCTTATATATGTAATCAAAGTAGTTGAATTAGAATACTTTCGCTAGATCATATTATACCCTTTAATATAGAGTGTGTGATCTGTATGTAGTTTAGTTCTTGTTATACTTTTGAGTTAACAGAACATATTCACATAAAAGTTTATTAGATAAGTGTGCATCACTCTGTATCCTTGATCTGCTGGGAATGTATTACATGCTTAATTGTTGAATCATGAAGAGAAGATTGTAAGCAGGAGTCTCTGCAAGCACAACAACAGGTAAAAAAACTGCCATACTGTATCTGATTCTGGTTATACTGTTTATACGTGTACTAACTCACTTGTATCTTTGTATCTGCAGTAACACCAACTCCACATCCAGCTGAAAACACCAGAGATGCTTTTACTGTTCCTGGTTCTAAAAAGGATGCAGATAAAACAATAGAACCTGGTAAAACATTAAGACACTAGAGATAAACTGAAGTCTAAATATATGAAAAAAAGAGAAAAAAAACAAGAGAGTAAGCACTCTACTTTGTTTTCTAGAGCTAAAAGCAGCTGATAAAGATGTTGCCTTCAATGTTGCTATACGAAATGCTACAGAGGCATCGATGACACGATTTATAGGTAAGACTAACACACTCGTTACTCTCATGCGTTATTTATTTATATGGAATATTTCATCCTATTTCTATTGGAGTCTTGATTTTTGCTGGAACATTTGGATGGTATGGTTAAAATTTTACGTAAACACCATGTGACAGCATGGATTTTTGGGCCCCTAAGTACAAGTTAAACATCATTAAAGACCGTGGCCTACCCGCATATTGATCCTGATCATGTCCATGTGCTTATGACCACAGTGTACACGTCTTCTGAATGGCTGCTTCTAGCAAACTGGTTAATTGACATGACTCCTCAAATGGGCTCCACATTCACCAGAACTCAATCCAATGAAGCACCTCTGGGATATGTTGGGTGGGAGGTTCACATTATGGATATGCAGCTGACAAATTTGCAGCAACTGTGTGTTGCTATCATGTCAATATGGACCAAAATCTCTGAGTGTTGTTTACAACACCTTGTTGAATCTATGCCAAAAAAATCAAAGGTGTGAAGGAAAAAGACGGCCCAACCTGGTGCCAGTATGTGCCCAATATGGTGTTTTTGAAACTATAATATCATTAGAATCTCTATACACTCTTTCATTTTTATTTTTCAATTTAAAGGTTCACTTTCTGAAGAACTGGATAAAAACAGAGACACTTTCAATAACAGTGGAAACGTCAATGATAAACCCATGACAACTGGTGGGGAATTGCCACGTGTCCCATTTTGACCTCAATACTGACACTTCACTTCACACCTCACACAAAAATACAAAGTAATGATCACTTGCTATGACTCAAACATCATTAATATTTACATTAAAAATGATCTTTCATTTTTTTTTCAGATTCTTCAAATAAGCTCTGGTCTGATAATAAGATCAGTGTGACCACCGGTGACAAATCAACAGAAAGTGGTTAGAGACTTGCTAAATTAAGCTTCAAATCATGCCATTATCTAATTACCTTCTACTGTATAGTTTACTGAAATACAAAAGTGTGTGTGTGTGTGTTTTTTTTTGTTTAGAGTGTATTATTAAAAACATAAAATGCTCAGAGAAGCCCACTGAAATGGAAAGCACCTATGGAGCCTGGATGTCAGACGCGTCGCAGCTGGATGAAGATCAGTACTGGCTGGCCGATCATTTTTCAGGTGACTTACACAACATCCATGAATTCTCACTTCATAACAGACTTTTGAGAGTTATTTGATTGGATTTAACGCAAGAACTTTTTGTCACCAGGTCGACATTTGTGGGAATATCAGGACCTTTCAACATCGCAAAACACTAAAAACACTATAGACACCAAGAGGTTCTACCAGGGGTGTGGCCATGTTGTTTATAAAGGATCATTTTACTACCACAACGGCGGGAAAAACAGACTTATAAAGTAAGTGCTGCACCATCTGCACCTGTCTTGAGGTGTTTGATGCCTGCAACATTTATTTAATGGTCAATATTTTACATTTTTACAGATTTGGTCTGAAAACGAAGAGAACGCAGATTCTGACCATGCCAGACACCAGATATCACAACCTGACTTATCTTTTTCGAAACTCAAAGACATACTTCAAGTTTGCTGTGGATGAAAGTGGACTGTGGGTCATCTTTGCCTCAAACGCAGATGACAGCACACTGGTCGCAAAGCTCGATGATGACACATTCTCTATAGAGTCTGTCATAAACACCACCTACCCGACAGCTAAAGCAGGAAATGCTTTCATTGTGTGTGGGGTGCTGTATTTCACAGATGACAAAGACAGAAGGGTGACATATGCCTATGATTTAAAGAAAGAGAGTCCTGTGGATGCAGGTTTTGACATAAGATCAGGTAATGGAATCTTAGCTATGCTGTCGTACTATCCCAACAAAAAGATTTTGTACGTGTGGGACAACAAAAGTGTGAATACCTGCAGAGTTAAATTCAAAAAGACCTAAAAATAAATAATCAAACTCTATGACATCATGCAGTTGGCTTCACAAGGCATTGTATGATTTAGTTTTGTCACAATATACAGGTAAATAATTGTGCAATTTTTTTTTTTGTGTGTGTCCCGTTTGGATCTTTAGCCATCAGAATTGTTGTCTTAAGGCCAAGAAAGATGCCAAGCGGATTTATTTTACCAAGTGGATCATCATGGCCTTGCCATATTGGTCCATTTGATTGACCTTTATTATAATTATGAATTTATTTTATTTTCAGTTGCTACAAAGCGCAATTTTTCTTGTTGTGTGCTTTTCAGTTTAATTTGTTTGTGAAAAACAACAAAAAACCAAGGATGAATAGTATTCATAGCAACGTATATTTTTGTATTTTTCTGTAGACAGACTTCTGTACTGAAAGTCTTATAATCCGGTCAAATAAAAGGTGTGTGATACCTCTTTAATAATAATCAGGTTCTGCTGTGTCAACGTGATATTTAGCATTTTTCACTTCTCTCGAGAGCCTGCCTTAATGAGTATGTGCATGTGATGAAGCTATCTGAATACATGATGGTGGTGTACAGGTGGTGGTGGACGGCAGAAGCTCACAAGCCAAGTTTTGTCCAGGAGCCTTAAGAGATGACACACTGGAACAGCTTTTACAGCTAACTGTGCAGCTGGGTTGAGACATTTGAAATCAGACTTTAAATGTAAATTTATATGAGTCGTTTTTGTTTGCATGTCTTACTTTGTACAACTGACTGGGCGAAAAGTTGTAACCTTACACATACACTCATTGGCTACTTTTATAGGTACAATTTGCTAGTACCGGGCTGGACCTCCTTTTGCTTTTAGAACTGCCTTAATTACCATACAAATGTTGCAGTATAAACTGAGAACCATTCAATCAGGTAATGTTTTTTCACATCTTCTGTTGTCCAATTTTGGTGAGCATTTGTGAATTCAATGTAGCTTTGGTTTCCTGTTCTTAGCTGACAGGAGATGCAGTCTTGAGTGTTATGTTTTGTTGCTGAAGCTTCAAGGTATGCTCTTCTGCATACACTTGGATGTAACAAGTGGTGATTTGAGTTACTGTTACCTTCCAATCAGCTCAGAGAAGTTTGGCCATTATTCTCTGACCTCACATTCATTCACTTATATTTAACAAGACATCTTGTGACAGCCGTCTGTTTGAATGATAGTAGCATACAGTATTTCTGATGAAACATGTCCCTAAAATTAGTAGTTTTTCCGTTATCCATATAACATCCATGACAAAGTGTCATGGCCCCTTCTTAAAACAAAAAAACAGCTTCTTGTTTGTAGCATACAGTATATTTCTGATGAAACATGTCCCTAAAATTTGTATTTTTTCTGTCATCCATAGATAACGGGCATAACTTCTGATTTAAAGTTCTGTCTGTCTTTTATCAAGCTGCTTTAACAGGGTGAAGAATTAGCTGTGCAGAAACAGCATGACATATGAAACGGTCAAGATAATCATACACTTTTTTTTTTCACTTCACAGACTCGATCTCATCAAGTGTCCCAAAAAACCTTGTCAGCAAAACAGTGACACAAAGACAACTTTATATAGGACTGCACAGTATTTTTTAACCCTCTGGCCCTTCCACTACATATAGACAGACAAATGGCCCTAACTTTCAGTGGCTCTGGGTTACAGAGGCGGACACATATCACAAGAATCCATAAGTGATGTACTGAACTATAAAATCGCAAACACTATTGGATAGCGCAACAGGAAATACACAAATTAACAAGAACACTGCACAGTATCAAGAACAAAGACAAAATAGTGCATATTTGCCAATAACACGGGTGATGTCAAACCTAGCCCATATTTCTGAGAGTATTTCTTCATTTCTTTCTTTGTTTAAAGTTACATGCATTTGGCTGCGGTCGTGAGGTCTCAGAATCTGCTATGTGAGCAAAAAAGAGTGACAAGACCACAGAATCGACGGCTAATAACATCACGGAGAAGCTCGCAGCTATTAACGGGAGATTGAGAGACCAGTGTCGGAGTGTTAAAAACAGCTTGAAATTCTCAAGTACCATCATAATGCGGCTACCCCTTCGGCGCCAGCTGTGGGCTCAAGGCCGGAGCTCAAGGCCAGAGCTCAAGGCTGGAACCGAACAAAAACTCCCTGATAACGACTTGGTTGAGTCTGTTCCTTCCCATTCCCTACAAGGCCACCTGGGTTGGCTGGAAGACTGTTTACTTAGCCTGGCAGGGCGAAGGACACTGTCTCAGCTGAACTATGGACACGCACACACATACTGATGCTGATAAGCACTCACTGACGCATCACCCTCCCTACCCCGGATCCAATGCCACCTCCAACGCTTACCTCCCCCATGATGTGGACATCGGGTCAGCTGGAGGCGCAGTCGAGAGATTGCAGCGGTCCCAGATCAGATGTACACACTGGAACTCTTTCCCATGTTGCTTGTCTGTGTTTATTGTGTTATGGTGTGTTGATACCTGTGCATTCCTGTATTATCCTTTTGTGTTGCACATTTCAATGTTTTTTTTCCCTCGCTACCTGGCCTGACCTGTCTCCCCAATGTGATGTTTGTATTGTATGTACGGTCGGCAAGGTCTGTCATCTCGGTTGTGGGCAAAAGACCTGCAACTGACAAATAAAGGCTATCTCATCTCATCTCATCACATGCATTAAAATGTCAAACTAACTCTCATGAGTACCAAGGCTGTGTTAAACTTCTACATAATAATGCATACTGAATCTGAACTGAGCCTATCAAATAACAAAGTGTGACTGAAACGACTGTTAACAGGTTATAATGCTAGATGTGATATGTCCCTTAACTACCAAACGCAACTTAATTTCACAATATCTTTGTTAACGTTGCATATTACTATGTTGTCATGAACGCACCACGAATCGCGCTATGTTTGAGCAGATCTCAAAATATCTGGATGGGTTTTGAATGCGCTGGCACGAATGAATCCACCATGCTGCTGACACCTTGCACACTGTTTTAACGCTTCCTTTGGGGAAGGCTAGTTCGCTAGCCGGGTAACCAACCTAATAACCTAGCTCATAACAGCAGGCGTTACATCACTTTAGTTCGTGTCACACCTGTGAAATAACGGTCTAAAGAAGTTGACACTTTTCAGTCCACGTAACAGGCACTGTGGCATTAGCATGACACACTGACCTTTCTAGCTGTAACAAACGTGCAGAAGCTTTAGTGATTTATCAAATTTGTGTTTCAGAGAGGGGCTGTCAAGACGCGACTGCTTTCAACGCGCACTGTGAGTAAAACTGGAAAGCTAGTTAAATGTTGCTTTGTGTTTCGTAGTTAGTAGTTTTAAATAAGCTGGGAACGATACATGCAAATTTGTTTTTCTTAGGAGTCACTCTGCCTCTTAGCTCTGCAGCGTCGGCTGCTTGTCATTTCCTCTAGAAGAAAACGCTTAGTGAATTTTGTTAAGGCCTAGCATGCGAAGCTAACAGTTACCTATTTAGGTAAGCTAACTAGATAGAGTGTTCATAAAGGGTACCTTTATAGCATTAGCATTGCGTGATAGCTTAAAATACCAACACCTTTTCGTGTGGTGTACGGTGTAAATATTTAGACTGTAGTGGCGACTATCTAGTCTCGTCAACGAGCTGCTGTGCTAATGCTAACTGTGACGTTGGAGTATTGAGGCGTTAAACCGGCCTGTCTTATTCAGCGCAGTCTGTTAGCTGCACGATGCTAACTTGACACTTTTTTGTTTGTTTAAGGAGTTTGAGACAGAAGAAAAGATGTCCTGTCCATGTGCTTCGGCTGCCAGGTTGTTCCTAAACACTGCTAACAGAGGTACGAAAGGGAAGACGCACACACTCCCTGCCCTACAGCTGCGTTAAGCTGCATGACATTGAGCTATTTGCTTCAACTTGTGGAATCAGGGCCCCAGCTGACCTAGATCACTGTTTGTTATGACAGTTCTGTAGCTAACGTCAACAGGAGGTAAAAAGGTAATTCATGACAGTTTAGAAGCTAAAGTTAGGACAATGTTGTCACATCACCTACGTTTTCGTATTTCAGATTTTAGACCAACAATACATATGATTTCATGACAAACAACAAAAACATAAGGAGCGATTTTACCCCATGTAAATACAATGCTTGCATCAGACCGTGAAGTACTGCTCTTAATAATATACATGAAATAGAAATATGGTCTTTGGTATTATGGTATTTATGCATTATGTAGCCTTATAACATGTAATATTAGACATGTTGTTAAAATGCCCCTTTTTAAATCTTTAAACGTTTCTAAAAAACATTTTGGTTTTACTTTTAAGCTTTATTTGCCCATTTCCCAGACACACGTGAAGCCTAATTGAAAACTAAAAGAAAATTTAAGTGAAAATATTATGCCCTCTTCCCCCAAAATTAATGCTAAGGACACTATGCATTGTATAGGAAAACGCAATTAAAATCATATGTAAATGTCATTAGTTTTCAGACTTATGGCTGATAGAAATCTAAAGGGATGTTGCTTTTTTAAAATTTTTAAAAAATTTTTTTTAAACAGGACTGTCGTGCTCTCGGATTCAGTTGTTTTTTCTGAGTCGTCACGGGTTTCGAGAAACTCATTTGCCTCCTCGAGTACGTGTGAGGTCGTTTTCAGAGACCTCTGTCTGTTATGGCTCTAAAGATGGGACAACCAAGGATGGTGGAAGTGATGGTGGAAAGGTAATCTTTATTTGCAACATTTTGTAAATGTGGACGTACACAACCTAGTTAAAGCAGTGGATGATAATACTTTAATTTAACACGTGCTAACACAGTTGTTTTTACACAGAAGAGCCTCAGTGAGGGGAAGAGAATGTCTGGCTCCGGAGGATCGGGTAAGGGTGGAAGCCAGCTACGCTGCCCTAAGTGTGGGGACCCCTGCACACATGTAGAGACCTTTGTATGTGAGTTCACATATTACTCTTCAACAATTATTTACAAATGGTCTAACTGTTGAATGATGTCATGTCATGTTGTGTCAGTTGTGGAAATGTTTGTGTCCCAGATGTTTTCTTACGATATAAAGTTGTTGTTTACCAGTTGTTAAAAAAAACAAACCAAAGTAAATAAACTGATTATAAATAAATACATGGTATTATCACT